CACACACACACACACACACACACACGCACACACATTTATATATACTTGGTGTTTATTCGGAAACGAAATTAAAAGATCCCTGTTCGCTCGATACTTACTCGGATATCTCTGCAGGTTCCGGATAAGCAGGCGGAACCGGCGGTGACGGAGATGCTTCTGGAACCGGTTCTATCGAGCCAGGTGGTAATGTCAAATTGAGTTTGTTCTTTGACATTTGGTAGTCGGCCGTTTAAAAGTGTTTAAAGGAAACGAACGCTACACTATGTGAGATTATCACTCGACACAAACGTAAATTTGCGAATCATATAAGATTAATATGGTCTTATATATCTGATATTTTCTTCAAGCAAATAATGCAAGATCTATCGAACAGTCAAAAAAAATTGTCCGTATCCGCGAATTTTCTGCAATTTTCGCGCGAATCACAACACTCGCGCGAATCTCGCGGCCGTATTCATCATGCGTTCTCTTCGCGTGCATTCATAAACGGAGTTTGTTTGTTCGGCACTTGATAGTCTTGCAAACACGTCGCTGACAAGAACAAATTGTCAAATTGCTAATCTACAAATCTCTTCGTTATCTAAAGATTTCATTATTCAGCAAGAAATACGTTTTTATTACGCGACAATTCCTAGCAATCGCCGAATATATGACAACGACGAAATATGTCGCTAACCTAGCAAGGGGTGTGGAACACTTATGAAAAGCGAAAAAGATAGGTTATACGAAACTTCGCGGGAACCGTAAAAGCGGATGCATCTAGTATCACCACCTAGTGTTCATCCAGCAGCTGAGTAGCACTCGAATGGGATTGGTTCTTATTTATTGATTTACGCAATTTGACAAATCACATTCGACCATTATTTCATTGCTCTTATTGAGAAATGGATGCATCAACAAACTATATACTACGACCTTATTCAAACAAACTTGCATAAATGCACAACTATGCCAACTATGGCCCAGTTGGCCCAGTATTCATAGACCGCGCGGTATTCATAGTCAAATCTCAAATTAGCATTTAAGGAAGAATTCACAGCTTGACAGAAAAACCAGTTAGTCCCGAAACACAATAGATGTATAGTAAGCCGTAAGAAATTGACCAATCATAATCCATTATTTTCTTTAAATTCAATGGCGATTGGTCCATTCCTTACGATTTAAGGACTCTTGCACACTGGACGCGGAAATGCTTGTCGGTTGTCGCGCGGCAAAGGTTGCGACGCGGTAGCGAATAAACTTACAGCTTCTAAAGAAAGATGATACGCGCGGCAAGACACGACGCGGTAGCCATGAATGGAGGTATCATCTTTCTTTAGGAGCTGTAAGTTTATTGGCTACGCGTCGCATTTTGTCGCGTGGCAAGCATTTTCGCGTCCAGTGTGCAGGAGCCCTAAGGCTTAAACACTTGTTGTATTTCAGAATTTATCAACTGATATAGGCTTTAGGCTGGATCCTCATGCAGACATCGCGGCGTTTTCACACCTAACGTCGCTGATTAATGGAAAACGATTAGGGTGCGTTCCCACTGAGCGCGTCACGCGCGCGTCATCCGAATTAACCAATCAAAACATTTTATTTTATTGCGTCATTTGCCGCGCGATCCGGGATTTCATACAAAGGAAGATTCTTTTATCTTTAGAATGTCGAATAACCTAATCGATGTGTCGCGCAAAGAGTTAATAAAGGAGTTAATAAATTTAAGACATATTATCGCCTCTTAAATTTTGATCGTGACTGGCTCGGGGGGTAATTGAAGAACGATGACATTACCGACGATTTTAACTGTCCATTGCTGTTTGTATACATATACATTATACATACATACATATATACCTATAGCATGTATGTACATACCTTTGACTATATAATCATGGACCGCTGACGCCAACTTCACGTTGGTAGCCAAGATCTGTAGCGACACCGTGTGGCAAAGCGGTAGTTGGGAGAAATAAAGGTA